ACATATGAGTGAAATCATATAATAATTGTCTTTCTCTGATTGACTTATTTCACTTAGCATAATACCCTCTAGTTCCATCCACATCGTTGCAAATGCCAAGATTTCTTTTTTTGATGGCTAATATTCCATTGTATATATATATCACATCTTCTTTATACATTCACCTGTCCATGGACATCTGGACTCTTTGCATAGTTTGGCTATTGTGGTAACTATTTCACCTATATGTGGTCTCTCTCTTCCCCTCCCCTCTTCCTCTTCCCATCCCTCCTTGCCCAGTGGTCCTACCTCTGGATGGACAGTGGTTCCTAAATCAGACTGCCCATTACAGTCAGGCAGGGACCTTTAAAAAAAAAATTCCATAAAGCCCAGGCCCCGTCCTCATAAATTCATCTAGTTGTTTATTAAATGTTCATAAAATTCATTTAATGGGATTGAGTTGGGACAACTTCTGTGTCTCTCCCTTACTGTCATACTGATAACACACTCACAACACTTCCGACACCACATGTGTATGTGGCGGAGGTTCCTACAGCAGACTACTCTGCCACACCGGCTGGATATTCTACAATTTAACTCAATTCTGACACTACCTCCCTGGAGATAGTGTCAGCTCCCCCCCACAGGATAACGGCTCAGTCCCACAAGACTCCCCCAGTCCAGATGGCAATCCCAAGTCCAACTTGTCTCCTGTGCTTCTGACTGCCTGGCTATAAATCTGAGCTTCCCACCACCCCCTTGTTTATTCGATGATTTGCTAGAGCCGCTCACAGAACTCAAGGAAACACTTATGCTTTATGAGTTTATGGAAGGATATGATAAGGAGAAAGATGAACAGCCAGATAAAAAGATAGCTAGAGTAAGGTCTGAGAGGGTCCCTAATGAAGGAGCTTCTGTACCTGTAGAGTTGGGGTGCATCACCCTCCCAGTGTAGATGATGCTGGAAAGATTTTAGGGTTCGAAGCCAACAGCCAAGAAAGAATTCTTGAGATGTCTTTGGTGCAAAAAGGTGGTTTTATTAAAGCAGGGGGACAGGACCTGAGGGCAGATAGAGATACACTGGGGTCATGAAGAGGGCCCATTATATACTTTCAAGTTGGGAGGGTGTTAGGAATAGGATAAGTCTCTAAAGAATTGGGAAGGAAGGTTTCCAGGACCTTGAGGGGATCAGCTATTTTTGGGAAAAGGTCATTTATTACTCTCTAGGAAAACTTTAATCACGAGACCTTTCAGATTTATATCAGTGGACCATAAGTTTGGGGGATGTTTGCCAACACGTATCCTGTTGGGGAGAGATAAAGGGGTTTCCAAATGACTTTTTTTTTTATTTTTTAAAGATTTTATTTATTTATTTGACAGAGAGAGACACAGCGAGAGAGGGAACACAAGCAGGGGGAGTGGGAGGGGGAGAAGCAG